TTTTTTTTTTTTCAGGGAGAAGCACTCAACAAGATGAAAGCTCTGAATGACTTTGTCAAAGTGAGTTCTCAGAAGGCCACCAAGCCCCAAACCAAGGAGATGATGCACGTGTGCATGAAGCAGGAAACGTACCGGGAAGCACTTTCTCACCTCCAGTCCCCCCTGAACCCCAACATTATCCTCGCCGAAGTTTGGTAAGGAAGAGAACTGCACCTCTTCATTTGTGCTTTGTGTAGCCAGGTTTCAGGTTATCCCAAGGTTCTTTCCTCATGGAAGTCCCCACCCCACCAGTGTCTGCAGGAGCTGTTGAGCTGGCAGCTCAGATGGCTGCTTTTTTAATAGGTGGAAACTCTGATGGCAATGTCTTTATTTCCTCCAGTGTGGATCAGTGCACCTTCATGGACTCCAAAATGAAACCTTTGTGGATTGTGTTTAACAATGAAGAGACAGGTGGAGGTGGAGTGGGCATTATTTTTAAAAATGGAGATGGTAAGTCCTTATTATAGCTCTGAAAACATATCCTTTGATCTCAAGTGTTTACTGTGGTGAGGGGGCATAAATGTGGACAATCGTGGAAATGAGAACCTTCAATGTTTTGAGGTTTTTGGCAGTAATCTGGAGAGATAACAAGCTCCCCTCTATCTTTCACCTGCAGCCCTCTTTCCTGTAGGTTTTAGTGCAGCGGTAGCTGGATCCCCCTGAGCAATAAACCCACACCTGGTGAGAGGTGTGAAGGAGCTCCAGCAGTCCGAGCTCTGCAGGGCTGGGGTGGCTGCTGCTCCCTGCTGTGTCCAGGCAGAGATTCCTGCAGGGCCACAGTGACTGCCATGGGAAAAGCTTGGGCAAAGTGAAGTACTCTGTACCTCCCCTAGTAAAATCATGGCAGCTGAGGTGTCTGGTGGGGTGGTTTCACGCTGTTCCTGCACCAGCAAACACTGCTCTGTGCTGATGTTCTTTCTGAGCTGGACCAGCAAGCGACAGACGTGGCAAAGGCCCCTCCAGCAGCTCTGGGCCACTTACAGGAGCACTGGAGGGGGACACTGGGAGGTGCTGATGCCCCTTTTTCCCTTGTAATGCTGCACAGATCTGCGTCAGGACATGCTGACCCTGCAGATGATCCAGCTGATGGACATCCTGTGGAAGCAGGAGGGCCTGGACCTGAGGTGAGTAGTGTGCACACAGTTGTCCTACTGCAGTGATAAATCATGGCTGGTGGGGCTGTTCTTCTCTGCAAGCTCATTTTGCCCCCAGCAGGTCTGTCTGGTGTTGTGTGAGCAGCTGGGCAGGTCCTGCTGTACTGGGCAACAGAACTGCAGAGGAGAGATGGAGGAGACCTGGCAGCCAAGGGAAAGCTTTAAAAGTCAACACCACCCAGTTCTGGGCAGGATTTCAGTGGAAGGGTTTCTTTCATCTCTGCAGGATGACCCCTTATGGCTGCCTCTCCACAGGAGACAAGACTGGGCTGATTGAGGTGGTCATGCACTCGGACACCATCGCCAACATCCAGCTGAACAAGAGCAACATGGTGGCCACGGCAGCTTTCAACAAGGACGCGCTGCTGAACTGGCTCAAGTCCAAGAACCCCGGGTGAGTGGGCTCCCCTTTCCTCATCTCCCCTCAGTTATGCACCTTTCCAAGCTGTCCCACAGTGTCTGTGGCTGCTTCCCTGCCCTCTTTGTCTTTGGGATCCATGGAGATCGAGAAATGAGTTAATTTAGTTGACACTGAATAATTTTCGCTGAGATTGTGGCCACAACCTTGTTCAGACCCCTTTAATTACAGGCAGTTATTGCAGCTCATTTCTGTCCAGCAGGGGTGGGAGTCCTGCCTCGGGAGAACACTGTGGGAATCCAGATGTGATTCCCTTCCTTTCTGTGATTTGCAGAGGGGAAACTCTGAAAGCAGCTTTCCAGTGGTGAAGTACTGGAGTCCGAAATGATGAAATGATTTCTCTCTCTCTTATTGCCCTCTGCAGGGATGCCTTGGACCAAGCCATCGAGGAGTTCACCCTGTCCTGTGCCGGGTACTGCGTGGCCACCTACGTGCTGGGGATCGGGGACCGGCACAGCGACAACATCATGATCCGGGAGACAGGGCAGGTACAGGCACTGCTGGGGGCTGGGACAGGGGACAGAGACATCCCAGATCAGCTAAAATAGATGCTGTTCTAAAAACATTTTTTTTCTTCTTTATTTTCAGCTGTTCCATATTGACTTTGGTCACTTTTTGGGGAACTTCAAGACTAAATTTGGTATAAATAGAGAGCGAGTTCCTTTCATCTTAACCTACGACTTTGTGCACGTCATCCAGCAAGGAAAAACTAACAACAATGAGAAGTTTGAAAGGTGAGTGGTGGGAGTGAAAAACTGACTTCAGCTTTTTACTCTCTGCATTATTAGGATTTATTTCCAGCAATATGTAGCCTGTAAACGTGAAAGTAAATAAATTATCTACCTGTTGGAGAAGGTGACAGAGCTTGGTATCAATGGAGACAGCAGGGTTCAGACTAATGTGCAGCTTTGCTTTATAAACTGGCAGAGTTTGGGGTGTTCACTGCTGTGCCCTCCCTCTTTCAGGTTCAGGGGTTACTGTGAGAGAGCCTACATGATCCTGCGGCGCCACGGGCTCCTCTTCCTGCACCTCTTTGCACTGATGAAAGCTGCTGGTCTGCCAGAGCTCAGCTGCTCCAAAGACATCCAGTACCTAAAGGTGAGAGAGGCAGAGCCCAGGCATGGGGAAAACTCAACACCTGATCCTGTGGCTCAGGGAGGAGGAGGAGTCAGTGGGAAGGGTGTTTGGAGGCAGAAAGGTGCAGGACATCAGAAATGCCAGGTACAGATGCCCAGGAAACCACTTCAGGTTCTTCATCCTGAGGGCAGCAGGTACCTTGTAGACCCAGTTTGCAGGGAAGGAGACAAAGGCCTGTGGTTGTGAATCATTTCCTGGTCCCAGTTTGCCTCTGAAGTGATAACCACCCATCCCTGGCCAGCTGCAAGACAGCACCTTGGTACCACCCTGCACCAGCAGAAGAGTGGAATGGAAGGATTTATCAGGGAAAAACCTCCTGCAACCACAGTCACCATTAAAAGACATTAATGGCTGTTCCTTTCCTACTCTGTGCTCCTTCCAGTGGGGTAATACCTTAATGAGTAAACATCTCACCAGTTGAGCTGCTAATTGCTGGGCTGTGCTTTCAGCCAGGCCGCACTGATTTGTTCCTCTCACCTCCAGGACTCCCTGGCTCTTGGGAAAACCGATGAGGAGGCACTGAAGCACTTCAGGCTCAAGTTTAATGAAGCCCTGCGAGAGAGCTGGAAAACCAAAGTGAACTGGCTGGCACACAACGTATCCAAAGACAACAGGCAGTAGAGCAGCAGCACCTGCACAGCCAGGGACTGACCACCTGCACTGGGCCCAGCACGTCAGACAGGCTGGGAAGGATAGACTGGTGGAAGGTACAGTGTTTAAAGAGTCCCCACCTGCATTCCCAGAGATCAGACAGTGCTCCTCGACTGAAAAACTGTTGGCCTGTCCTCAGCCACCCCCCCGTGGCTGCTGCAGAGCTTTGGGGGACAAGGGAGAGACATGAGGCAATAAAATGACTGCGTACAGTGGAAGGTAGGTAGAGGTGCTGTGCCCTTAAGAACTCATTAAGCTTCAAATACATCTTCTAATGGAAGAGTTGAGGCAGTTGTAACATCCTTCCTGTGTGCTAATGTCTGTATTTATATTTTCTTGAGAATTTAGCTGAACAGAGACTTCCTCCCCCACCCCCATCCCTGTAACCCATCTTGCAGGTCACCACCGTTCCAGCTCAGAGGCATCACCTGCAGCACTGCCCAGTGTCAGTGTCCACCAAGGGGGTCAGTTTAAAGAGCACTGGAGCTGTCTTGGACAAATAATTTTATTCTGCATTGTGACAGGCAAAAGATACCCACACTGTCACCCTGCTTTCTGATTGCTCCAGAGGCCCAAGTGTTCTCAAACTGAGCTGGAACTCACCTGTTGCTGGACAAAACTGATGCCTCAACATCAGGTTCAGTGGCCACTGGACCAGGCAGTTTCTTGGCTTTCCTAAATCAGGCTTTAGTTGAGCCTCAAACAATTCCTGCATCTATTTTGGTGTTAAGCCTGAAAACGGGAATATTTTTCCAAACTGGCATGGAATACAACACTCAGCTCCAGAGGCAGCTGGCACAGATGGCACCGCTCTGTCCCCGAGCTGCTGGGCCAGGCTGCCCTCCTGGGCAGGGAGTGCCACAGGAGTGGGTTCAACACTGAAACACTTACAGCATCTCAACTCCCATCTTCTTACAAAGGTACTCCCTGTTCTTTTCCCCCCTCCCAGCCAGGGTACAGGCCCTGCCCTGCTCTGAGAGCTGCTGGCAAAGGCTGGGGGGCTGAGCTGTGCCGGTGCCTGAAGTGGGACAGGGTGTCCCTTCCAGCCTCCTCCCCTCCCCACGGCCTCCTCAGTCTCCTTCCCTCTCCCCACAAGGTGCTGGGATCAGTCCCACAGTTCTGTTTGTGTCATAGCTCTGGCTCCAGGTCACAGCCCCACCAGGAGCAGCTCTGGGTGCTGGTGGTGCCCAAGGACAGGGAGCAGGAGCCACTGCTGGGGACAGGAGAGTGGGCAGGACCTGCTTCCCATGACAGTTCCTTGTGTCCTTCCCTTCCACCTCCCCACCTTCTCCACACAGCAGGTTCCTGTGGAGGTACCACCATTCCTGCCTCTTCAGGAGCAGAGTCTGATTCTCCAGACACCCCCAAAGCTGAATCCTGTATTCATTTATTTGCCTTTAATTAGGTTCAACAATTTCCTTTTACGGCCTGTAAAGTGGTTTTTTTTTTAAACTCTTTTACTTTTCTCATGTAGATAAACACAGAGGCATTGCAGATCCTGGTTCTCAGGAAACAACAGGTACAGGTGTTGTCAAATGATGGACTAGACTCTCACAGATTTAGCTTTCAAATCTGCTTTAAAATTCCCACAGAAGCAGCAAGTTCAGGAGACTGAACTGGCCTGTTTAATAAATCCTCCCTTCAGTGATCTAAATTTGATTTGATTTTTGCTCCCAGCACATGGGTGCAACTCATTCCTGACTTTAAGCTCTGTTTGATACTTTAAAATCAGATACCCCAGTACTTTAAAATTTAAAAAAATGCTGCCTTAGAATGGCTGTTTAAGTCAAATCTGTCAGCTGGTGAAGAACAAAGTTAACACTGATTTATAAAACAGTAACTTCTTCTGTAAGTAGAAATAAATAGTAAGTAAAGCCAGGTTTGGTCAGTGAGGGGAATATGAAACAGCTGAAATAAACCCTTCTCTACCTTTATATCTGAACAGGCACTGGCAGTGTTACAGTTCCTAATCTAAAGTGTGGTTTAAAGTACTTACTGTTTCTTTTCATAGAAGATGTTGAGCTGTGGGGTCTGGTCTGGTTTGTAGCCATTCTCCCTCTCGAGCACCTGGTGGTAGAAGCAGCAGTTCTGGCATAGAAAGCACCTGATTTTAATTTTATAGAACCCTTTCCCAACACCTTACCAATGATCCTGGGTGTGACTGAAGCAGCACTCCAGCTCTGACAGTTGTTTTGGTACCAGAAGGAAACTCAGATCTCTTTGCAGACTGATCAGGCAGCGAGAACAAATCCTGTGCCTCTGCTCCATTTCAGAGAAGAAACACTGCTGTTCCTTTCCTTATTAAACTAATTTACAGAGCAAAAAGTGTGCCAAAAAAAAAAAAAAATAATCCCAGGCCCCAGGCAGGGTGAGATGCTCTGAACCCACCCCCTGGTCAGGTTTGTTGGTTCCTGGCAAAGGGAAGACACTACAGTCCTGTACCTGGACTAGCAATTGTCCTGCACTGCCACAGCCTGCTCTGAGGTACCTGCATTCCAGGCTCCCAACACCAACCCCAGGCCCTCATCCCAGAGTTTTCCAGCAGTGGCTCCTGTCCTGTCCTTCAGTGTGAGAAGTGCAATAAAACAGAGGTGTCTCAGTGTCAGCTGCAGGAACTGAGCAATTCCCGAGGGTTTCTCTGCCCAGCCCAGTTATTCCAGAGGTTCCTCAATCTGCAAACTTAACTTACCTACAAGAGCTAAAATTGCAGTGAGTCATCACAGGGACCTTCCTCCTTGGGCACTCCTGGAAGAGCATCTTTGTTGAAGCTCTGAGGGTCCAGCAAAGAGCCTTTGACTCCAAACCCAAAAAGCAGCAGCTCACCTGATGGTTCTCAGCCAGTGAATTGTACTGAAGATTCAAACTTCAATCACTTTCAAAAAATACTCCATTTCACCATAAACAAGTGGCTTCTCATTTTATAAATATGCTCAGAATGATAGACCTATTTCTATTTATTTAGAGGTGTTTCTGTCATTTTTTTTTTTTAAAAATTCACCCTGTACAAACTGATTGTGCTTATTCTGTTGCCTTGGAAAAAAAAAGAAGTATTTTTTTAAGCCAAACTGTGGTTCTGCGAGAAGAGAATGTTTACATGTTTAACTTTTCAGTTGCTTTAGGTACATGTTTTGTAAGTAAAAAAAATAAAAAATATTGATCAATTGTCCACAGATCTTTCTGTGCTTGAGATCAACAAAAACAAAGACTCCTCCTCCTCCCCCATAAGAGGCAAATTAACACTCAGTTTTATGTAACTTTTGATTTCTACTTTGTTCCACTCGGGAAGAAATAAATGCAAACGACCTTTAGAACCAGAAATTTATTGTAGCTTATAGACTTTCCAAACTGACCTGTTACCAATATACACATCTGAAAAGTTATAACCCACAGTGGCTACAAACTGTGTCACAACCCCTCAGGATTACCACTTAGCCATGATCAGTTTTGGTCTAAAATACAGCAGCTACAGCAACAGTATATGGAAGGATAAGTCTTCTACACATTAACACAGGACAACTGTCAGACATAAGTTAAAAGTTTCCCAGTTTACTTAAAACTAGCAGTTAATTACCACGTAAGTAGTCAAAACCATTTTTCCCCTTTTAGAAATCTAAAATTTTACATTAAAAAAAACAAAAAAACCAAAAAACAACCAAAAAAAAACCCCCCAACCCCAAACCCCAAAACAACCCCAAAGGAACGGTAAGCTCTGGTGTGGGTTCCCCTCCCTACTTCCAGGTCCATCTCCCGTTGTAAAGGCACTCCACAGTCAAGGTTCCCCCGGATCAAACCCACCACAGGTCCTGTCACACCGTGAGGTGAGGACAGGTCTGCTCTGAAAAGCAAACTGTACAAACACCTGGATAAACCCTTCTCTTTTCTCTCTTTCTGTTCATCAGGACCCTTTGTGCCCCACCCTTGGGCTCCTCTGGCAGCTTCCCCAGTGCCCCTGTCCCTGCTGCGAGTGACACGGGTGGGCTCTGCACCCACGGGGGCTTGGCTTACCGTGCTGAGGAGGGAATGCAGTCCCAGGCTCCTGTGACAAGCAAAACAAGTTACTCTTTAATCCACCTCCGTAGAAATCAAGCAGAAATTCATTATTCCAGACTCTGCATTAAGACCAAATAAAGTTCACCAAGCCCTGCCTGACAGAAAAACCAGCGCTCCCCAGGCCGGGGCAGCAGCACCTTTCGTACCTTCCAGCTTTTGTCCTTTGCAGGCCCCAAGTCAGAACCGGGATTGGGAACAATCCCAATCAGCTCCACTTGGAGTAACAGCAACATGATTCCCAAGGTTTTCTGGTTGGGTGATTTATGCTACAGTTTTTCACCAGCAGGAAAACACAATTACTAAGTGTAAACAAAGGTTTAAAACACCGACAGTCCGAGTTACTGTACAAGGGGCTGCAGGGGAGGAGCAGGAGTGCTCAGTGGGATCAGCTACACCCCAAACCCTCCCACTGCCAAATCAGAAAGAAATGAACAACCAAAAAAAAAAAACCCCAAGATATCTATTTATGAAGACTGGGAGCCAAGGTGCACAGGTAACCCAGGGCTCAGGCTTTCCAGCTTCGTCACAATCCACCACTTACCAACACCCACCCTGTCAGTACGAACAGCCCAGCACTGCACTAACAGGCAGCCTCCCTGTCATTACCAGGAGCTGTGGCAACAACCCCACAGCCCCCACGGATCCTGCCCACCATCCATGTAGTGTTTTTGTTTTTTTCCCCCCAATAACTCGAAAGCCCTTACGCTTAGTTGGAGAGGGAAAAATAAAAATAAAAATAAAAATAAAAATGAAACCCAAACAACTGTATTGCACAGGGGCAGCTGAACCTCTGCAGAGGCTCCTCAAGCCTTTACAATTTCTCCCAAGTTTATGATCCCTCTGCAAAATAAAGGGGGTTAAAGAAAAGGAAGGAATTGGAGGAGAGCGGGGCATGAGCGCACATCGAGTCAAGGCCAAGGACAGAGTTACTGAACATCTACACTAAGAACTGTGCCCGTGCTCCTGCTGCAGTAGGATGAGACTTGTAATAGTTCATGCTGCATGATTTTTCACTTTAGCGTGTTTGAAACCCCAATTCCCTGTTTTTCACTACCACAAATGACGTAATTACATAATTCCAAGATATTTACAAAATATTAAAAAGTCTTGTTAATCTTCTACATATTAACCTCATTCTGCCACTTTACACATGCACTAATTTGGGGGGAGAGGGGGAGAAAATTAAAAGAAATCAACAGGCTGAAATGAGCAGCTTTACCCTTTGTCAGCAAGC